GCGAAGTTATGTACCTTTAGAGACACCAAATGGAAGCACTGAAAATAACACCCAAATCAAATCAATATAGAAAATTCTTAACGGAAAGGACTATTCCCTGCTTTGTAGCACTCTCTTCAGATTCACAGACACAAGGATATATGGTTTACCATTAAACTTAATAAAATCACTTCAGACTGATTTTACCCAACTACCTTTCTTTATCCACTATGGCAACTTCTGAATTGAAGAAAACTATATCCAATATCAAACATCAAAACTGACATTCATTAATATTTTTTGGAAATCAGCTCATATAAAAAAGGGTGAACGTGATAGCTTATAAAATGTCATTAGAAGCCCATTCTGGGACATTCTGGAAGTCTCGCTTTATTCTGCAGTTCCCCAGGAGATGCCAAAGAAATAGATCAAAACCCGAGAAGTGATTACCCTGTCCTGACACTCTCACCTTTCCTGGAATACTGTGGGACAAGACACATCACGTCTCACTGCTTTGCCTTCAAACTGTATAGTGGTTTGTGTAAGATAGACAGAAGCCCAAAGTAATAGTGACATTTTCTCCTTCAAATCATTTAATGCCTTGTAAACTCCATAAAGCACAACATACTGCAGCAACGAGAACAAAATTGAGCCACTTGGTTTCACTGCGCCTCTTGATAGACCAAGTTGTTCCATGCGACCAAGACGGGAATGAGAATCTCACACCTCCATTTCTGCCTCATTTCATGGAAGTTTAATAACTTGGATTGCTGGAGGTTATCTGCTATACTACAAACGCAGTGTTGTGAAAATCACCCCCTTCTCCAGATGGTTCATATTTTTAAAAGTACATTCTAATGCCAACAACTATTCCTTCTTCAACATAAATGAATTTTGCAGAAACAAATCAGACTTACAATGATTGCCCTAACAGAATAGTCCAAAGTGCTTTCTTGCTGGATAAACTCATTCTGCAGAGGAAAAGCCTGATTTCAGTGGTGTTTCAGACTGCAAGGTATCACTGACGGTGGCAGTGGCACTAAGGGAAGTAGGAGACATGTCAGTGGTGGTGTCCTCTAGGGGTCAATACTGGGGCTAGCACTGTTTAACATCTTCATTAATGACCTGGACGATGGGACTGTGCCCCCCAGCAAGTTTCCAGACAATACAAAACTGGCAGACTGACCAATACACCAGTGCTGCCATTCGGAAGGACTTAGGCTGGAGAATGGGACAGACAGGAACCTCATAAAGCCCAACAACGGGAAGTGCCAAGTCTTGCACCTGGTCAGAAATAAGCCCAGGCACCATCACAATTTGGAAACTGGTCAGCTAGAAAGCAGCTCAGCCAAAAAGGATATTGGGGTCCTGATGAACTTGACCGTGAGCCAGCAATGCACTCTTGTGGCCGAAAAGGCCAACAGCCTCCTGGGTTGTATAAGGAAGGTCACTGCCAGCAGTTCAAGGGAGGTGACCCTTCCTCTCTGCTCAACAGTGGTGAGGATGCATTCGGAGTACTGCTTCCAGTACTGAGAACAACCTGGGCTCACCCATACGAGAAACACAGAGACTTACTGAACAAATCCAGCACAGGGCCGCGAAGATGATGGAGCATCTTTCATATGAAAAGCTGAAAGAGCAAGGACTGTTCAGCTTGAAGAAGCTTCAGGGGAGATCTTATCTATGTGTATAAATACCTGATGGGAGGGAATGAAGAAGAGGGAACCCAACTCTTCTCAGTAGTGCCCATAGGCAAGACGAGAGAATAGGCACAAATTAAAACCCATGAAATTCCATGTGAACATAACACAAGTGTGGTTTGTTGGTTTTTGTTGGTTTTTTTGTTTTTTTTCCTTACTCTCTCCTCGGACAGAAGTCAAACACAGGTTGCTCAGGGACAGTTTTGGAGCCTCTATCTGCAGAGACAGGCTAAATGCAGTCTCTGACAACCTGCTTTAGCTGACCTAGCTTGAGCAGGGTTTGGACTCAGGAGGGCCCCTTCTAACCTAAACAATTCTGTGAAGATATCACAAGAAGTCTGTAAACCTATGCTGCTGATTATTAAGGCACTAAGCTAGGAAGGCACTCATGTTTAGTCCACTGGTCTGCCTCGAACTCCTTTTTCATATGCCAAGGCATTTATTTCAATTACTAGTTACTAGAAGCTGCCTAACTCAGATCATTGAAGGACAAGCATACAAACAATGGGAAGAAAAGTTCTTTCATGACTTAACACAAGAATTATGAGGCTTTCTGATTTCTTTTTTTTCTTCTGAAGTGCCTGGTTAGCCAACTTCAGAAAAAGGTTACACAACCAGTTGGGCTGCAAGATTTTTTCTTTATGACACTCCCTATCTAAACGTGTGCATTTCCTTTGGAGAAGAACACAGAAAAGAGTAGACATAAGGCTTTATGTATTTTTTTCCAGTAGGTTGCAACCTAACTTATTCCAGTGAAAAAAAAAACAAAGTCACACTACAAGGAGAAGAATAGAGAAAACACAAGAGTCAGGATTTGCTGACATAGATGCTACTCCAATTATTTATTATCAGAGCGTATACATTTTATGAACTGTGATGGGAATAGAGTTGCAGGCTTTGAGAAACTCCTGAAATAACTCACTTATTACATTTTTATCTGATTTTAAAATGTAAACAGCAGTTGCAGTAAGTGCACAAAAATATATTAAAGAAATAAAAAGTTATAAAAGTACCAGAAAGCAAAGGCATCAAATAAAGCAGCATTTTCTGTGCCACTGGCTTGTTTTATTGCATGCATGCTTTGATTGACTGAATCTGAAAAGTTCATTGATAGCCCATTAGGAAAAGGCACTGAAACTTGGACACAGTCTGTTAGCTCCCAATGTCTGTGTCTGAAATATCTATAAATGGCCAAAGTCTAGCTGTTTCCCTGATTGAATTATATACATTCCAACTTTTAACAGCACCATAATCCTCCAGGCAGTCCTCTTCACAGAAAGGTTTGTATTTCTCAGGTGATTAAAATCACTCTGCTTTTGGCCATCCGTTTGAGACCATCACAAAGCTATGTTGTAATATAATCATCTGGAAATGCACTGCCTATGGTGCCTTATTGACGAAGTAAGAGAGCATCCAAGTCAGAGTCAGCCTTTTAATTGAAATGAAAAAGGTAAGAAAGCCTGGGGCTGCAGAGTGAGGCAGAAAAGGATGTGAAATTACAGCAGCACCAATATAGCTTTTATAAAGAAAACTAAAGTAACGTTTTCACTCACAAGGTCAGCATAGGATTAGATGTAAGGCAGGGTCATCTATCTATTGCTGCTGTGCTGCTCTACATACTCAGCATGTATTAGAAAATTAAACTTAGGATTGATAAACTGCACAGAAGATCAATTACAGCTCTTTCCCTAGAGAAATTGCATGAAGAAATGGATGTTCTCAGGTACTATCTAGCATGGAGGTGCTGACACTGTTAAAAGATACCACTGCCATTGCACAGATCAAAACACGCTGCCACAGAAAGTGTGGCCACACTGCCACACCAAAACAAAATGAGTGAAGACTACTGACACTGTTTGCAACACCATCACACCTAATTTTAGACTTTCCTACTCTAATCTGATGCTTTTCTTAATGTTTCCATGGCTTAGATTAACAAATGCATCCATAACCTGTCTGAGAGGACAACGCTGACACTGACACTTCCCTTTCAGGGGATCAAGAACACAGAAGTGCCACTGCCACACACAATATTGGGAAGGTTACTCTTCCTCAGACTCACCCCTAGTCCCAGAAGTAACACATCTACTTTTTTTCTTGAACGTTTTTTTAGAAGTCAGTGTAAGAACCCAGATTAAAGATGCAAAGAATGTCAGTGCTCATAATAGCCATGGTCCTCCCTCTGCCTAAAGAGTAAGACAAACCAAGAGAAACAACCAAAGTTGCTGTTTCATAACAGAAGGACACTGTCTATTGGTATGCAGGTACATCTAACTCTATATGCACACACATCTGTGTCCTCTACACACCACTGCCAGAACAAAATAGCAGATCAGATTGTCCTCACACAGGGTTTGCAGCTTTTCAACAGAGAAAAAAAAAAAATCAAAACAGGAACAAAAACCACTAACAACAAAATCAAACCTCTAATACCCACTGCAATGACCTTTTGTTCTTAACACTGTTAAACTTCTAGTTATCCAGCACCATGGGAACACACAGCAATATATACCTTCCCTGTAACAAAAAGCACAAGATCTTAATGGAAATAGGCCATGCAGCTATGTCTAGAATATGAACACCCTCAGGAAAACATAAGAAGGTGCAATGGCCAACTAGAAAAGACTCGCTGCAGTAGTGCTTAAGGCAGAGTAGGTACCCCTAAATTTGTGAAACAGGATGGCACAGGTGCAGCACATGAATTTCAACAGAGTAGAAGTATGGCCACTAACTAGAGGATTAGATGATACAGACTGTTCTCAGCCCTACTACTGGGACATTGTATAGCTTCTTTCTGCTTCACTGTTCTTACACTTCCCTTCCTACTCTTTGCCTGCACCACCTGCACATGTTGGAAGCTCTTGAGATCAGGGCCTACCTCTGCATGCATCCTGACTAGCTGAGTAGGGTTCAGACTTTGACCAGACCCTCTACAGGTCTGCCCATTTACATTACCTTACTGTAAACACACTGAATATAAATATTGCAGACCAGAGGGAACAGGGGATGGCACAGGAAAAAATGGAAGTAGAAACATAAACAGGGTATATACTCCCTAAGATGAATACAAAATGAAGGAAGGTCAATGCAGCACTGGATGCTAAGATTTAAAAATAGGATATCACTGGCAAATCATCCAGTGACAACATCTCATTGCAGTTGCTTATTTAATTGGCATATCACATTACCTTGCATGCTTGAGATTGAACTCAGATGAGTGTGAATAGACATTACGCAAAAACAAATTAAATTGTATTAAACAATATAAAAATGAAACTTCTCAGTAAAGCATCATCAAAATATATACAGATATAAGTTTACCTCAGCTCCTAAACTGAGAGAGATTATTTCATCCTCAAAAGCAGAATGTGTATCAATATGAGGAGGAATTCCTGCACACAAAAGGAAAAAAGAGTTGTTATAATAACAGAGGGTATCTCTTCAAGCAAACTCTATTTACATGGATGTCTCTTCGAATGGGCTGAACAAACAAAATTTATAAAGGAGCCTTCCAAAACAACTCAGGACAGGATCAGCCCATCGGATTTACATGCCCAGATTAGATATTAACCACACAGCTAACCTAAGTATTCTCTATAATCAATGGAAATACCTAGAAGACAGTTCAGAGCACCTCACTCACCCACTGAAGACTCCTACTGGTCACCTTGCTGCAGCAAGCACCTGAGATCATTATGCTCTCCTCTTGGCTTAAAACTAACAGTGACGTTATGCTGGGTGTCTTTGGGCCTTAGCTCATCCATGATCATGTATTTCTCCCTCAAACTCTTCCCCAGGAAGAAATCACCCCAAATACCCCTTGTGTTGCTAAGCAAATGAAGGTGCAAAGGGTTTCAGCTTCAGAATTAGGACCTACTACTACAAACAGATACTGTCAAGGTCAAACGCTGCCCCTCTGCTTTGGGGTTCTCAAGAAAAATCTACACACCACTGCTGGGCTAACCCCTACGTAGTAATTCTTTTGGGGCTTGTATGAGTAATCACATGTATCTGAGAATTTCCAAAAGGAGAGTGATTTCTTTCTTTCTTTCTATTAAAGAAACTGCCATTCCCTGAAGCCCGTGCCACATATTTTAACACAATCAAATTTCTTAGTTGAAAACATTTTTTCCCTAACACTGTCAGTCAGCTCTGCAAAACATCATTCTACACCAGATTTTACCTCCAGATATAAATAACCTGAATTTCATTCATTTCAGTGAAAGCAATACTCTTGTTTTATGGAGGCCAACATTTAGTCTAATAGAAAATCAGCCAGACTTGAAAAGCAAGGACACATATCTGCTTGTGTTTGTTCATAAATTTTCTTCTGTATGAAGCACTGAAACTCTTCTTTCAGATGCCCACTAAAGGCAGCATAATTCACTGTGCAACAAGAGGACAGCTCTGCATCACCCAAACAATTCAACCAAGACCACACTGACCTTCCTGCTGTTTACGCTCCACCTACACAGCACATAGTAAGAAACAGTCACCTAAGCATTCAAGTGTGGGTGGTTACTTTCAAGTATAAATCCAAAACTTAAAACGTTATTAAGATCCTGAATGAAAAAAGTGCTTTAAAAAATGAATTCATTTAATGTGCCTTCAATGTGGCCCCTACAGTTTAGATACAGCTTAGTCATCATTCACTTTTTAAAATCTCAAGTTTAGTGTCCAGTGACAGAATCTGGCTCATAACACAGGTACTAAAGGCATTAACCTGGCTGCACTCTATGTTCATTTATATCCTAACAATTTGCACTCCAGAAAGGGTATTGCTTTATCTTGGTTTGTTTTTAAAAAAACTGCTTCTGTTCTTGATAGAAATCTACAATTCCTGCTAATCTCCTGAGGTCCCTGCCAGGAGTACATGACTGTAACAATTTAACAGATCGTCAGATACATAAACAAATGCGATCAGCTTCTCAGACTCCTGTTTGGCACACACTAAATTAGCTGTCAGACATTGATTCTGAAAGAAAAGCTGTTGTCCTTCGTTCCTAAGGACAAATTAGATATCCACTCTAGAGGATGCCAGATAGTTAGCCTTGATAACTGACCTTAGCAAAAAGCACAGCACATGATTTATTCCCTAGAGGTATGATGAGAAGCAAATTTCTCTCCAGTCTGGGAAAGATTACAGAAATTGAGTAATTTCTTATTCCCCAGATAAGAGAACACTTCTTGCAGCATACTTAAGAGCCTACTAACATTATACCACGTAGTAGCAGCAAGAGCTGTTTTCTGGAGACTATGCACATTACAGGGAGAAAGTAAAGCTTGGGGAAGCAATGAAGTACACAAGTGCAAAAGCAAATACAACTGCTTATTCCTGTATCCTTTTTTGTTTAGTTTCCATGTTATGGTCTTGCATTCTGGAACACCATCAACTTCTGTAAGTGTTATCAAAAACTGTACTTCTGAACACAAGCTCCTTGGGTTCAGAAACCAGTATGAAGACAAAAGGTTTGATATCAAACATCTCAGGTCACAGAGTAAATACATTAAGTAAATGCTTAAATCCTATCCCATTAGATGCTATTCTCTTCTGAATTTCAATTAAAGTAAAAAGCTCAACATTTTTGAAAGAAAAAAAAATTACCTTGTCCAGGTTCATACTGATTTACAGTCAGTTGATCAGGTTTATGTTTGATATATCCCTGCTTCAAGCACTTCTCCAAGAACAAGCTACAAATTTCAGGAAGACCTATTTACAGAAAGAAAACTTTAAGCAAGACAGCTTTTTACATTTTTATCCTTTCCGTTTACATTTAAATATAATAGCTGGGCAAAATACACAGATACAACTTCATAGATATGTAAGGTCATCTTTAATAATAATCGCTATCAATTTATTCTAAAAGACACATCAAAATTGTTGGTCAGATCTGCAAGTACCATGTATGTGTGACATCTCACAATTAGAAAGGCCGTTCCTCCAAGATCACATTTAGAGGCAGACCAGGCCCACTCCTAACACATGCAAATTGTGTTAACCCTGCATATAGTCACAGAATCACCAAATTGTCTAGGTTGGAAGAGACCTCCAAGATCACCTAGTCCAACCTCTGACCTAACACTAACCAGTTCTCCACTATATGAGTAAAAGCATATCAGATCAGGGGCAAAATTTCCACCAACCACTGCAATAAGGAAGCTGCAGACAAGAACTAATAATTATTATGCAGAAAGTCAGAAGTTCTGCAGAAAGCTCACTAAACAAAAGAAAATTACCCCCTAAAAGTCTGTTACTGAATTAAATATCACCACATAAATCTGCTGAAGTCAATCTGGTTTTGAAACAGGAACAAGAGTTCTTCAATGAATCTTTAGTGTGCTATTTTATTAGAGGACATCATTTATATTCTGTTGGATGGAACACCCACAAACATGTTAATAGCAGCCCTTTCACAAATCTATTGATTTTTATTTTTTGTCTTCCCCCAGTGAAGTATTTCCATTTATTCTCTGCTCACATGTAAAGAGCACTAGCTGTAAAGACTAGAAAATACTCAAATATCAATGCTTTTATGATTATATACAGTTTCACTGCTAGAACCAAAAGTAACCAGAAACCATCTGTTGAAAGCTACATGCACCACAGTACCCATGCATGACCTTAAACACCTCCAGGTTTGATAGGAGTTTAACCTCCCTATTTTACTATTTTTAAATTTAAGACTATAAGATGACTCACTTGATTTGCTCTGACTTCACAGCTATCAACTCCAAATAAGAGAGTTAGTCAAACCTTTTCAAGATTGCTTTCAGTCCAAAGGAAAATTTTGGAGCTTCAAGCACGTCAAGATAAACGTATGTTGCAATACACACTGCAACCCCAAATTAATATGCAATTTTAAACACAAAATCATTTTATGGAACAAAAGAAAAATAAAATAACAGTTTAAGAAAAGACAATTATAATCCCCAAATTTGGGATTATTTGATTTGACCTCAACAAAAGGCAGTAATTCCTGGCCACAAGTGTCTAGAAAACAAGCTTCAAATGCTCACAGCAGTCTGGAATGGATCCCATTCACAGAAGTGCTGTTCAGTGTGTGCTTAAGATACAGTGAAGATTCTCCTTTTATTACAATCTCAAATCTATACCTTAGTGAGGATTCAAAACTTTATATAATGGTTCAAATATCAGTGCAAATTATTATATTATAGGGAAGTTCTTACCTCCAGGTAAAGGTTTGTCTTTATCAACGTTGTTGTTATCATAGCGAAATTCATATCCAAAATGTTTTACTTTTCTATGCTTTAAAGTCTTCTGGGCTGTGAAAAGACACGAGTTTAAAGTAACATTAGACTACATAAAAGAGTAGAGGCAAATTGCTATGCTTCCCTGTTCCATTTGACCTCTGTTAAACCTAAACATTCTTTAATTAACAGCTAAAACAATCTATGCAACCCTTGTTATTCATGGCACACAATTCTTCTGCCTTGTTACCTTTTGTAACTGCATCAGGCATTCACTGTTGTTTAAAGTCAAATTGACCCTGCTTTTGTACATGCAGGAAGTAGAGAGTACCAATTTCCTGGACTCCTAATGCATCTTTATTCTTGCTTTGACCTCTGGCATAGCATTTGACTGATAACCTAGGGATACAGCAAGATCCTCCACTTTCACCAAGTTATACGTTAACTAAGGTCAATATAACCGTTTGTGTTGTTCCAAGGGAAAAAGATTTTTAAGTAGGACATAATTTTTTTTAGAAGATTGCCACATCCAAAAACTACAATCTTATTCAAGTAAATCTGTATTAAGATATCGATTCAGACCACTTCGCCCCAGTAGTTCATGACTTGTAATATAAGACCCAATTTCTAAAATACCAAAAGCAAATACACAATGATTTCAAACAATACATTTATCAACATGCAGACTTTCTTGTAAACTGAAACTGGAGGAAATAACAGCATAAAATCATACGAGGTATGAATTTCTTCGGTTTTACCCACCATTTTGAGCATCTTCATCTCCTATCCAGTCAATACTTTCCAACATTCTCCTTTCTTCTTCTGGAGAAACTACCTTTTCAATGACTGTGAGGCCTGGAGGCAAGTTTGTAGGAACAGCATTCTTCCAGAAAACTAGGGTGTACGGAAAAAGAGAATATTGTCACTCTGTAGGGAAAATAAAACCAGGTATTCCCTATAGGATTATTGCTATGTATGGGAATATATTATAGCTGTAGGAATATTTGCTGTAATGATACAATGGAGTATCTAATTTGGTGAATGAGTAATTCATTTTTGACACAGGGAAACAGGGTAAGGCCCAAATTTTGCATCACAAAAAGCACTTTTTAGATTTTACTGCGTAGGACTCCACACTACCCAAACGCAAAACCACCTGTGATTTTCCTGTCAAAATAATGATAAAAAAAAATCCAATCATTTCAGGATTCTACCAGCATTTTAGTTTTCTACAATTTTGATTTACCTCTGCTTATAGCTGAAAAGCAGAGTGCCACTGTAATTCTAATATTCCACCTACCACTAACAGGAAAAAACGTGATTTCTTATTTTCTATTATTTTTTGATATTTGATGTCTATGGAAGCAATTTGTAACCAAATACAGACAGCCATAACACAAAACCTAGAAAAATAGAAAATGCCTGTGGTATACAGGCCTTCAATTGATGTCCTTATTTTAAAAGCTTTTCACTGGCAGAATATACAAACCCAGAAGTCTTTTCACTAGACACTATAAGAACTCATAGACAGAGGAACCATTCTTGTATGAAATAGCTTATAAGCAGCCATAAAAAAAAAAGTTTGAGAAAAAGGAAAAAAAGCAGAAATTTTATTCTGCCTATGTTCAGTCTTGGAGCTAAGATAGAGATCACAAGACCGTCACCACACAAGAAGTCCAATGAAGTACTCAGAGATCCCCTGGGTACCAATTTAGCTCCTTAATTACAAAACCTTCAAATGCAGCAATGAATGGTCTTGAAACTACTTAAGAGGCCACCCTTTTCCTCATGCCTCCAAGTGAAAGAGTTCAATTCAAGTATCCTATCATGGAACACAAAGACAAAAAGTTATTTTCTGTGCTGAATCTTAGATTCTGGCTTTCATTCTCTTTCTCTACTTAATATACTGTGTGCTTTTAGCTATATTTACTGTCTAAGAAGAAAAAGCAAAGAGAAGTGTGCAAGTTTATAGGTAAGCACAAAAATAATACCTTTTTCCACGAAATTACTATACAGTACAACATTTTGGCCAGAGTCTCCCAGCATTAATTCTTTTCCATTGAGGGCATCAAAGGCTTTCTTGGCTTCTTCTGTTGACCCATATTTCACAAAGGAATATGGTTTATTCGGTGGCATTAGAAGTGCTTCCACCAATCCGTACTCTTCTACTGTCTTGAGAAGTTGTTTTCTATTCATCCCATTACCTAGGCCAGCGTTGGCAATAACTAGGCTCTACATGAAGAGAAATAAAAGAAAACTTAAAGTTATTGATTACTGCTGATTGATCTAAAACTAATACTAAGAAATCATCTCTCAAGAAAAACAAAGCAATCCCATGATTACTTTTTAATATATTCCACTCGAAAAACTTGTATTTTAATTAGGTAGGTATACAAAGCTACGACAACCTCTGTCTTAGCACAAATTCTGGTAGAAATGCTTGCAAATGCTATTATAAGACCACTTAAGCTTCAAACTGGCATATGTAAGAAGTGTTCTGTATGCAAAAAGTGACACCTTCAGAATCATTTTGGAGTTTTCCAAAATAAAATTTTTCTAGAGCCCAGTTACTGCTAACAAAAACAAACAAGAAAAAAATCCTTCAAAGACTATGATTCTTTTGTTGTTGTTATGAAAGTTTTCTCTTCTTTGCCAAAGAATCTTTCTAAGTACAGAGTGACTGATATTCCCAGTCACACCATACACCAGGTTCACAAAAAAAAAAAAAGGCAGCCTCTATAAACAGACCATTAAATTCTGCTCCATCACTCTTTTCTGAGAATTCCCACTTTCTTTCTTTTCTAAGCAAAAAGGATTTATGCCCCATCCTTATTAACACAGATTACTTTGAGCACCATCAGAATAGTTTGGGTTTGAAGGGACCTTAAAAGTCATCTAGTTCCAACCCTCCCTGCCATGGGCAGGGACACCTCCCACCAGACCAGGTTGCCCAAAGCCCCATCCAGCGTGGCCTTGAACACCTCCAGGGATGGGGCATCCACAGCTTCTCTGGGCAACCTGTGCCAGGGCCTCACCACCCTCTGAGGGAAGAACTTCCTCCTAACCTCTAATATAAATCTCCCCTCTTATAATTTAAAACTATACCCCTTGTCCTATCATAAGTCTGTGCTTGTGTCTGGGATTGCCCTGACCCAGGTACAACACCTTGCACTTGGACTTGTTGAACCTCGTTAGGTTCACGTGGGCCCATATCTTAAGCTTGTCCAGGTCCCTTTGGATGGCATCCCTTACTTCAACCGCACCACTCGGCTTGGTGTCCTCTGCAAACTTGCTGAGGGTGCACTTTATCCCATTGTCCATGTCACTAATAAAGATATTAAACAGCACCGGTACCAGAATAGACCCCTGAGGGACACCACTTGTCACTGGCCTCCTCCTGGACATAGAGCCATCAACCACCACTCTCTGCGTGCAACCTTCAAGCCAACTCCTTATCCACTGCATGCTCCACCCATCAAATCCATCTCTCTCCAATTTGGAGACCAGGATATCACATGGGACCGTGTCCAAGGACTTACAAAAGTCCAGGTATGACATCGTTCAGTCTTCCCTTGTCAAGTGATGCAGTCACTCCATCATGGGATGGAGTGGTGGCTGCACACTGGAACAGGCTCCCTAGGGATATAGTCAATGCACCAAGCCTGTCTGAATTTAAAAAGCAATTGGACTGTGCACTTAGTCGCATGGTCTAATCTTTTGGGTAGATCTGTGCAGTGCCAGGAGTTGGACTTGATGATCCTTATGGATCCCTTCCAACTAAGGATATTCTATGATTTTATGATCACAGAACACCACCAGATTGGTCAGTCATGATTTACCCTTGGGGAAGCCACGTTGGCTATCTCAGATCACCTCCTTGTCCTGCATGTGCTTTGCAAACAATTAACTGCTTTACTCTAGGTCTTCATTGTGATTTATGTACAAAGTTCTCAATGAGTATGCAGTTTGTAATACTATTGCTGGTTTGCTAAATATTAGAAGAAACAATAAAATAGAACTTTAAAAAGGACTGTTATAAATATATATACATATATATATGTGGGTGTGTGTGTATATATATGTATATACACACACACCCACATATATATACATATATACTTTGCAAACCCACTATCTATTTAAAAAGATTCAAGTCTTTTTTTGACATCTAGAGAGCTATTTGCTATAACTGGATGTTCAGTCTAATCATGGAAGTTTAAATCCCTTTCTAAGGACAAATAAGGATGCAGTCTTGAAGTTTTGACTGAGCCCTGTAACTCCAAACAACTAGCAACAATTTAATCAGATTGACTCAATGCAATACCCTTCCAGAAAGCTTTCACACAATCTTTTCCTTAAATGCTATAAATGCTCTATGACCTTTTCTGAAAGCAGCTGGCAAAGCGTTCAATAGTTTCAAATTGTAGTGTTGCACTTCCCTAAAAGACAGAAAATTATGTTTAAAACTGAACAGAAAGATTATTAACAAGAAAGATTTTTTTTTAAATCAGTGAGCACGGCTGAGATACTGCTGTGATTATGCTTTTTGTAGTGGCTCTGTTAACACTTGCTGTTAGCAACACATCAGGCTGTCCATACCAATGACATTTTTCAAAGGTGACCATATCACTAATTATTATTTTCTGGAATGTTACTAAAGGGGAGGCCCATGTGTACAAAGGAAATGAAGAGACTCAAACCAGTGCTCTCGCTGGCTGTAGGCAGGTCACCTATAAAGACCTTCACTACACCACATCAGCATTTACCGAGATTGTTCACATTCTCATGACTGGGCAATTTCAGTAAAATCACTCTTATTACACAAAGCCTGCAAGCATTTTCTGTACTCTCTGCACAAGTTTGTTGTGGTTTAACACAGCAGGCAGCTCAGCACCACATTCTCACACACACCCTGCCAGTGGGATGGGAGAGAGAATTGGAGAGGAAAAGAAAGTAAATGCTTGTGGGCTGCGATAAAGACCATTTAATAGCACAGAAAATTAAAGAAATAATGATAATAGTAATAAATTGTACAAAGCAAGAGATACACAACTCAGTTCCTCGCCACCTGCTGAGCAATGCCCGGCTCCTCCCCAAGCAGCAGTCCCCCTCAATCCCTGCCAGCCACCCCATTAGTTGCTCAACATGGTGTCGTATGGCTTGGGACATCCCTTTGGCCTGTTGGGGTCAGCTGGATGTTCAAAGGAAGGGTGCCCTCTACACATCATGCAGCTGACACTATGTGGAGTAAGTTACACTGATCACACAATGGGATCGAATAGGAAACTCCAGTCACCCAGGGATCTGGGAAGTGATCACGGACTGGCCAGAAGACAAAAATTTTGGAATATCACCAGAGGAGGAGATGACACATGCTGAAGAAGCCCCACTGCATCATAATCTACCAGAAAATGAGAAGCAATATGCCTTGTTCACTGGTAAGTCCTGACATATCGTGGGGAAACACTGGAGGTGGAAGGGTGCTCTACAGATTCCTACAAGGCAAGTTGCAGAAACTGCTGAAGGAGAAAGTGAATCGAGCCAATCTGCAGAAGTAAAGGCCATCCAGCTGGCTTTAAATACTGCTGAGCAGGAAGAGTGGCCAGAGCTCCATCTCTATACTGACTCATGGATGGTGGCATCCCAGGAAGAACTGAATCAGACAATGAGACTTATTTCTGAAACAACCTCAAAGATACCCGGGCCAAAGAGCATGGCATTGAGTGGGTATATCATATCCCCTCTTGTGCACCAGCTTCTGGGAAAAATTGAGTGATATAATGCACTGTTAAAGATTCCACTGAAGGCAATGGCTACTGGGACATTCAGACATTGGAATACACATTTGGCAAAAGCCACCTGGTTAGTCAGCACTAGGGGATCTGCCAACCCAAACCTGTTACATAGTGTACAAGAGGATAAAGTAAGAGGATAAAGTCCCTGTAGTGCACGTAAAAGACACGCTAGGGAAGACAGTCTGGGCTATGCCTGCCTCAGGCAAAGGCGAACCCATCCGTGGGATTGCTTTTGCTCAAAGATCTCTGTGCACTTGGTGGGTAATAGTGAAGAATGGGGAAATCCAATGTGTACCTCAAGAGGATTTAATGTTGGGTAAGAACAGCCCATGATTTGGGCTGCATGATGTTAATTACTATATAATACTGTCTGTCATCACTACTATGATTGTTGTATGTCATACTACTAATGGTAACACAGTAAGAGTCACCCAGATAATCACAAATGAATGTTGATAGAACTCAACAAGCATGGCGGTGTTGGAATCAGAATTGGCTTCAGCATGCAACAATCCAACAGCACACACCATCTCTTCTGCCCTGAAAGATTGTTGTGACAGGTGGAGCCCAAAGTCACGGACTAAACAAACTCAATGGACATTTTATATATGAATGTACATATTGTATGCATATATATAAATATACATACATTTCTGTATCTGAATGGGAAGAAGTTTTAGGATCAAGATGAACAAAGCTAGAGTAAGTGGTATAGCTCTACAATATGTTCCAAGCCAAGTTAGCAGCTTCCCACAACTGACAGAGGAGAGTAAGACCCTCTTTAATTTCTTCTTTCTGCCTGAAAGTTCCCACCACTTATCTTCTGCTACATCAGTATTTGCCAGGTCCACTTCTGATCTCCTGAAACTCTCTACTATAGCAAAAAAAGTAACAGATCAAACAGATGGGTAGTTTGCTGGTAGGTTAGGAAATAAAACATCTTACTGTAAAGTTCACTGACTGTCATAAGAAAGAAGCAGAACTGCCCCATGTCCCCTTTTGTGCATGTGAAGAGAAAGTTCTCTGTTTAACAGCTGAAAGTCAGTCAAACAGTTCAACTCCCACAGCCTAAATCAATTTAGGTGAAGAAAACAACGTGGAAAAGATTTCTAAGACAGACATGCTATTTTTTTTTCACCAGGGAGTTAACAGATGAGACAAATTATACTTGATGGAGAAGTATAGAAGAAAAAGATACAAAAGCTAAAAGCCAGAGAAGAAGAAAAGAAATCATAGAGAAAAGAGGAGAAAAGCACATCTCCTTCAAAAAGGTAACATTTCTCTTGCTGCTGTCTTCTCCTCCCCAATTCAAGGAGCTACTGTTTCAGATACAAAAAAAAACCAACCTTACCTAACGATTTTCAAAGCCTCTCTGCAGACATTAAACTGATGAAGTATACTTCTGCTTTGAACTCAAGAGGGAGAGAAAACCTTTAATCTCAGGAAGTGCTTTTTTTTGGGGAGAACTGCATTTTAGACAAAGTGTATGCGAAGACGGAACACAGATAAACAGCATTTTCTCATACCATCAAAATCAGAACCGTCAATCACCTGTGTGGCATGGGAGACACACTCAATGCCCTCATGTCTCATCAATGTATGCTGAGCTCTGAGCTGCTTCCTCATTATCTTCTTCTTCATTTTGCGGACTTTCAAATGATCTTCACCAGTTCTGTCAACTTCCATGTTGGTGATCTGGGAAGCAAAAGTAACAGCATATAGTAAGCATCTTGCCTAAAAAATGAAATACGTTGGTCTGCTGTAGAGAGATAACAGCAAACCTCCCTGTCCTGTAAGTCATTTTTAGGACACTAATGGGGTCTGTCTTGGGACCAGTGCTGTTTAATATCTTTAACAAAAGGTAATTCCAGACTTTACGAACTACTGGGGGCTGACAAAACTGAGTCGGCAAACTACGCTATTCCTCAGTCAATAGGTCAATTTTCCCCATTTTATAAGTTTTGCTGATTAACTCCTTTATTAAAAGAATGTAAAGTAAATCTTTATAAAGATTGCCATGGTATTCGATTTCATTTTCCAGTTTTTATCTTCCCCTTCACTTCCTTATTCACAGTATCACTACATTCAATCGCAGTTTTTATGCTGCCCACCCCTCCTGTTTTCACAGAATAGTTTCAATTGATTTCTTTCTTCTTGAATATGTGGAACTGCCATGAGATTTGTACGATCTTAGCTTCTAAGTTAGTGCCTCACAGAATGCTTAAGCTGGAAACGTACTGTTCTTGTTTAGCCTCCTTTTTCATAATTAACACTTCCAAGTGAATGTTTGGCAAAGATTGCTTTTTTTTGCACACACTGATGCTCAAGGACTAGGAATCAGGATGCTCCATACCTCATTTAGCACACCTTCAAAGACCAAATCTTAAGTAAATCACACTCTTGTCATGAGAAAAAACAGAAAACTGTGTACATCAATTAACTGTGTACATCAATTAACACAGTGAACAGTGAAATCAGTGTAGATTTTACAGCAGTCTCAAATGAATTAAAACAACATGCAAATAAATTAACAACAATTTCTGGCAAACCTAGAAGGTTACCGGCATAGCAGGCTCTAACAGTTCTATCCTGAAACCGTGTCACATTCCCACTATCAACTCTGAGATGGTACATGCATGGCCATAACAGTCTGAACCCTGACTTCCTGGCCAAATAGAATTACTGAATTTTTACAGAGATCCTGACCACATAAAATTTAAACATACTCCTGAGCATGACAAAGAAACTAATCAATTACTAAGCACCATAATCCATCCTACTACTACGAGTCTTTTGCCTGTTCCTGGAATTTCTTATTCAGAGCTAAATCAAGCATAACCATGCTAACATGCAACATACAAATAATGTATGAAAATCTTCCTAGTGATAAACTGTAACAGGGAACAGTTTCTGAAAAAGGAGACTACTGAAATCATTATTTCTTATGACTTCAGAAACATAAAGAGTAGAGGCTGAAAATCTCAATTGGTTATATATATATACCAATCCTTCTGTAAGATTAGTTTTCATTTTGAATTTGTTAGCCAACACTCTTACCAGGATTCATCCAATTTGCAGGCTTGTTCAGCAAGCTCATCCATGAACAGGATGCCCAATTGACATATTTGGTCCAAATGGCTTGGCCTGCTAGCCTTCCTTGCCACACTTGGGTGAAAGGAGGCCAGTAACTTCACTGACTGACTATCTGCAGGTTCTCATCTTCTCAACAGTGGGGATAAGCAGCCTCAAGTTACTTTAAAAGAAAGTATAATAGGGACATCTTTGATTTGATGGGATAGGGTGACAGAAACAGTAACAACGTGGGGTGGTTTACTTTGTGGAACCATGCGAATCTAGTCCAGAAGGAAAAGCATGTAGCTACTTTGCCCAGACCACACAGATTGCTATTGGGAAGCCTCTACAAAAGAGACCCAGATGGAAAAAAAGGATGTGGAATTGAACAGATCAAGCCTCTTACAAAGTATCTACACTTCCATACACTGTGTGACTCCATCCAATCCCAGGGGAAAGCAACTCTGAGTTTAGTCAGGCCTCAGACAAAAGGTCCTTACAAATTCCCACATCCTCCAAGCAAAAGCCAAGAAGTCATGGCCCAATACTTGGCAAACTAGCACAGAAACCGTAGCTGAAAGACTACTTGATATCCTTTCACTATCTCTGAACTAAGCAATACAAGGGCCAAGCAAGGTACAACTCAGAAGCCTAAACTAAAATATTTAGAGCTGGTGGAGAAGCCCCAACCCATGCTGCCTGGCCTTGCAGCTGCTGCTCAAAAAGCTGCAGACTTTCCCCAAATGCTGTGTAATGCTTGTCAACAACACCCAGATGTCTCCAACCCCTAAAGACATCTCAGACAGCACCACCTGCCTTCGCTGGGACAGCACAACCCTCTCTCCATCTGTGTCTGAACTGAGCCTGAATTCTCTGCCTTGTCAGTTACATTAAGTCAGTTCTGCAGCCTCAAAACCCCACAGTCTGACATAATTCCAGAGTTAAGGAACCACGCTCAGTTGTATGTAATTGTAAGCAAGTATATACCTGTATTTGGTGGCATCTCAGACCCACTTTACAAAGCCCAACATGACTACAGGGGTAGAAAAACAAAAAAGCATGGAGCAAATACACTGAAACAATCTCCCCCGCAATCCCAGCTCAGGTTACAGCATCAGTAACCGGTCTGACATTACAACTGGGGTTAATTTAAAGTTTAGCAGCCACCCGGGGGCCGCTGCTGTGTGCGGAGCTGAGCGGCTGCTGCCAGCGGGGGGAGCGCTGCGCCCACTTATCAAGCTCATCGTCTGGATTGGGGTCGGGTTTGTTCCCCGGAAACCGAAACACAAACGTAGGCAGACACTGCATATATAGAGACATCAAAACTCGTGGGAGACATGAAATTCAAGAATTCTCATGGGGAAACCTGGATGTTCCGGCATCGCCTCAAAACACCTGAAAGCGCCAGCGGATCCCCGTCGCTATCCCCACCGCTTTTTCACCACTGAAAACCAGCACCTAAACCTTCCACCCATTTCCCTCAAATTTACAGGCTCTGGGGACGCGTGAAAAATAGTAAAATAGTAGCTATTTTTAAAAATATCAAAAGCAATGACAACAAGAATCTGCGCACACTTTTCCGCCCCCCCTTTCCGCTGGGGAGCTGCCCCCCTCTCCCCCAGCCGGCGCCGCGCGGTACCTGGCTGGCGGCCGCCATCTTGGGGCAGGCAGCCCCGCCGCTCCGCCCGCCGACATGGCGGCGCCCCGCCCTGAGCCCGCCCAGCGGGACGGGTCCCTGCTGGCCGGCGAAGGCTGAGGGAGCCCTTTCCTGAGCAAAAATACTGCTGGGTGAAAAAAAGACACCCGTAAACGGCGGTGCTCGGGGCTCTCTGATGGGTTTTTCCGAGCGCTGGCATGGGCTTAGGGCTGTGTCACGGTGCTCGGGGACCGGGAGGCTGGGTGGTTTGCGGAGGGAGGGAAGTGGCCGCGGCCCTCTCCTTCTGTCTCCTGTCAAAGGTTCACGGTTGTTTTTCCTCACTGAAGTGCACAAGATCGTCGTCATCCTCCTTCCAGTGTATAAATACTTTCCAGTGTGTGAATTCTTACTCTGAGGCGGCAGGAGAAGCACAGCAACATTTGAACCCACATCCCCAGTGGAGCAGCAGCACTCGGCCTCATGCTGGACTCTGTTTCACAAAACAAAGTGTTACACACAAAAAACAGACCAGACCCATCCAGTATACCCTACCCAAAGTTGGGACCCCAAAACCTGGCACAGAGCTATCACCCAGAACTGTAATGTTGTCAGTGCCCACAGAGGACACCGCTGCAGACAGCGCTGATCAAATGACCTTTAGCAAGCTCTGCGCTAGAGGCAGAGGAAGGCAAAAACACCCCAATAAAGCTAAGGCCACATGAAGACTAAGCCAATGTTTGTATTTCCCCACACTGCTTCTCTGCTCATGAGTAAACCCACTAAGCCTGCTCAGTAAAACTGCACTGCTGAGCAACCTGCGCCTTGCTGAAGGAAGTATCTGCACAGCTCACTGTGCCTTAAAATCATCCCCTGAGTCAGAGAGAAAACACCTAAATTTTCTGTTCCCTTCATTTTTCTCTGCCATCATAAACTAATCTAGCCTCATGCTACACCACCACCACCATATGACCTCTTTCCCCTTTTTTCTCCAAAACACTGAAGTTCGGCATAACCTACTTTTTTTCTATTAGCACACTATTCTCACTATAGCTTATTATCTAAAAACTGCATTTTTTTTTTCTCTATTTAACTACCAGGCTGGTTTCTTTTCTCTCTCTTAACCTCCTCTGTGGGTATTTAACCTTTTTCAAGATCAATTTGATGTGGGATTCCCAGGTGGGTGGTATGCAAGGTAGCCAATGAGCCTTGTAGACCTGCAGTCAGAAGCCAGCTCCATGACTTTGTCCCAGATCTATACTCAGAGTCTCCCCATATAGTTCGGTAGGGCTGTGCTTACCCAGGGAAAAAGGTATATTTTGCTTGGGGTATATACCATGACCTGTGCTGCAGACAAAGCTATCCCATAGTACAAGCACACCGAGGATATGAAGTTGATTGGGCACATCTGCTAGCCCGTGAAGACAGTATTTGGTCAGAAAGGGCACCACACTTCTTTCCTTCCACCACAGTCCGTGGCCCTACATCACTCTCCATCTTTGACCCACACAGGCCACGTGTACCCTCACGAGATATTGTGATAGCAAAAATCTTATGCTTAAGTTTTCTCACACATACAGCATGGATATGAAATGTCTACCTAATGAGAGTATGGTGGGGAGCTTGTTAACCCTTGCAGACACTAAGTATTAGCAGTGTCTGGTCTTTTTATAAGCCAGAATGAACAGGGGAAAGAACAACCACGCAGTGCCAGCAGCTGCTGTCTCTATAAGGATATTCTGTGAGGCTCTCAGCCCTGGAAACCATGCAACCCAAAAACTACTGAAAGGATGATTTTAATGAATTCAGTTTGTACTTCATTACCATTTGTTCTGACAAGTGGAAAATACCTGCCCAAAGGTTGTTTCTCTCAAGTGCCCACATTCCAATTCAAAGCCCTGACTGTGTGGGCTCTCAGTTCTTGTACTTGGCGGTCTATGTGTGTTTTATCCCACTGGGACTCACTGCTGGTAGGTAAGAAATAGAACATAGGCTTAGTGGGATGTTACATTTCAGAGCACAAACCAAGAGGTTCTGGCAGCTGCCTAATCCTATGTTCTCCAGCCATCGTTTGGGTTTATTCGGCTTTATTCTCTTCAGAATTGCTTTCTGGGGAAGAAGAGACATATTGTGTACTTTTTTTTTTCTTGAAATATCCCCTTATGATTAAGAGTAGTGAAGAATTCAGCATGCATATTGGAATAATCTTTCAGTTTTTCCATTGTAAATGTATCAATTTGCATATCAATATAACTTCTATAAACAGCATTTGCACATAAGAAAATTCCACCAATTAAAAGTAATACAGTTAAGAAATGGCCATGTGTTTTTTTGTTGTTGTTGTTGTTTTGCTTGTTTGTTTTTTTCTTAATATAGGCTTATTTTGGTCAAATCAGAACCACCATTTCCTTTACAATTTAAGCCCTGAAAGGCTGTGCAGTCCCTTCTAATGCCAGTTAACATGGGCACAGATTCCTCCCACAGATAACACCGTGCTTATTGACCACAAGTAAAAATACATCTCCATATGGTTAACAATATCATCACTGACTAACCCACAAAATAGCTTACAGAAGAAGGGATTCAAACACATTTGCATTTCATGTTAATATAATCACTGATAAAAAGTACTTTGGGAGAAATCTAATTTTTTCTTAAAAAAAAAAAATCCATTTTTAGAATAATATTTTGCTTTGAAAATTCACTACATATTCTAGTTTGGAATTAATTAACAAATTAATTTCATATTTTTCTTAAACAAGAAAAAAATCTCTGTTGGAAAGACTTGGCTTTGTCTCATTTTATTTTTTGTAACTGATAATCAGGAAACATCTTCTGAAGCAGAATGTCATGCTCCCGCTTACTTGTAGGTGAGGAATAAAATGCTTATGACTTATTCCAGGAGCAAATTACAATATTCACTATGCTGTTAGCTGTTTCACCTTTGACATATTTGCCTATTCTCTCTAATTCCCCATCCACTTCATGTGATAGTAAGCAAACAGGTAAGAACACTTCTGTTTCCTTCAACAAAACACAGGTTATATAGACAATCTCACTCCCTTTGATACTGCTGCAATCCAAGCCATGCTTTAGCCTAATGTGATCACACTGGATTTCCATCATTTTCAAAGCCAATTAAAAGAATATCACAGGAAGGTAGCAGGATTTGTTGTATCAAATCTCTTGATTTAAGAAGCTGCAGTTTAAGAATCATGACAAATAGAATATGTTCCAGAATAACATTTTGTTACAGAAATAAGAAACCTCTTAGCTCAAAATCACCCGAGAGTGGGTACTGTATGGTACTGTAAAGGAGTACCATAGTAAGTGATGAGACACAGATGGATTGTTTTAGGATAGCATTCATGTAATAGTGAGGGACTTTGACAAATGTCTGTTGACCTAAATTCAAAATGTGCTACTGCTGCCGCTTACAATAGTAAAATTCTCCATAACAAACCTCTGCAATGCCAAAGGCTTATATTTTTCAGGAAGATAGCAAGGCTGGCTCTGTGCTGCATGTCATTTTGATTCTGTATTTGTGCTGTTCAATGCTAGATTGCATATTTCTTTCTAAACAAAGAAAAGCAACCCCCAAATATCTTTCAGAATCTTTTAGTGATTGCATAAGACCAAGAACAGAGACAGGGAGAAATCTAGGCCCTGGTAAAATCAATGGGGGTTGTGCCAGTTATTACAGTGAAGGCAGGATTTATCTTGATTTTCAAATACTAGCAAACAAAAATATTTTATTCTGAATAGAATCAGAACATTAAATAATATGTGCTTGAATACTTGTTTTCCCTTTCCTTTAATATAAGCTGATTTTTTCCTGAAATCTTTAGATTCAGGGTATAAGAACTTTTAGAAATACATTACATAGCATAAATCTCACAATAACATTGTATGATTTGTGTCATAAACAGAAAATTATTGGTATGTTCAATTCCATCATTGTGAGGTACCATCCTCCTGTGCAGCAAGTTTCTTTGACACAATGATACAACTTTCTCTGAGTTTCTGAGCAGGCAGATCTCAGCGCTGCGTTGGAACAGCTACAGACCTCATCAGCCAGGGAACGTAAAAGCTCAATGAATGTTTAGGATTGAGCAGAGGTTAACTAAACCAAGCACTTCTGCTACACATTGAGATTGCATTAATGCAATGTACGTGTGTTATCAGACTTGGCAGGGAGAAAATTTTAACTTCCATAGCCAGATACTGAGTCACCATCCCTGGAGGTCTTCAAGAAACATGTAGATGTAGAACTTAGTAGCATGGTTTAGTGGTGAACTTGTCAGTACTAGA